CCCGAAGACCTGGTCCCTCTCGGTAGGGTAACAAGGGAACGTGTTCAGTGCAGATCAGTGAGTAAGCACAAGCCCGCCTTGTTTCAGTGCCTATGCTAGCTTTCTTTTAACATGTATAAAATATTACTTTTTTGCTGAATCATGTGAAAATAAGTTGCAAACATTATATACTTTATCTCTCAGAAATGTATCATCTAAAAATAATGACATTCTCCTCTTAGCCATATCATTTTCACTCTAAGAAAATGAGCAGTCATTCCCTAAGATCATCTAATATTTAGTTCATATTTAAATTTCTTTAATTGTCCCCCAAAGGTCTTTGACAGCCTTTTTTTTTTAAAGCCAGGATCCAATTAAGATACACTCATTGCATTTGGTGTAGATGATTCTCTAATCTCTTTCAATCTAGAATAGTTCTTTCTCATCTCCACTTTTTATTTTATAATAAAATTGACTTTTTGAAGAGATGAGGCCAGTTTAAATATTTACTCTTAATAAAAATGCTTTATAACCTGGATCTTTTTTAAAAAGTAAATTTTCTTTGAGAATTCAGAATTTTACAACATATTGTCAAAATTAGCATCTTATCACAAAAACATAATCAGGGAACTTTAACTTAAAGTGCTTGGTAGGGTAACCAATCATTCCAGTTTGCCTGCAACTGAGGAGGCTCTAAGAATTTAGGACTTTCAGTGATAAAACCAGGCAAGTCTCAGGCAATTGGGGATGAGTTGCCACCTTATCAACTGGTCACCCTTGGAGAGCACTTATTAATGTGTTGTTGTTGTTATTCCCAAATCGGAGGACTCACAGCAACCCCTCCTTGGGTTTCTGAAGCAGTATCACTACAGAAGTAGATTGCCCAAACTTCCTTCTGAGGAGTGGCTGGTGGGTTTGAACCTCCAGCCTTCTGGTTAGCAGTCAAGTACCTTAGGTACTACGCTACCAGAGCTCCTTATTAATGTGTAGGAAATGCTTAAGCAAATGATTAAAATCATCCCCTGATTCTGATCATTTTCATAATACCAAACAATTATTTATATACTTAATATCTTTTTAACTAGATTTTCTGAATTGTGTATCAATTATGCATCTAGATATAGGATATATGCTTGGGAAAATACTATAACTAAAATTCCATATCTTCTCAAACTTAAGAAAAAAAAATCTAGAAGCATCTTATATTAGCCATTTATTACTTAATTTTACACCATTGTTTAAAATCAGACCCTAAATCTGTATTTTATTTTAGATATTATCTGCTGCTTAGAATACAGTGAAGCATTACAAACTTTATTTTCAAAACATAATTTATTTCACATATAATTATTTAATTCCCTAAAAAGTAAGTTAAAAAAAAGTATAAGCATATCCTTTTATAATAAGATAATGATTTTTTCTTTGGAGGATTTTATTTCAATAGGGTTCCTCTGTAACTGGACAATGACAAAGTTTAGGTTTATTGGGATTATTTTCCAGCAGCCAATCAGCTAGCCAAGTCTATGGAAAAAAGAAAAAAAATCCTTAAATTAATAAACATTCAAATATTTCATTTCAATATATATCAGTTGAAAACTTAAAACAGTTTCAAAATTACTTTAAGAATAATAACAAAATGACCATTAAAAATTGAAACATTAGTTTTACACAGTACAAGTTTGTCAAGCATATATGGCAGCCTTGAAAACAATGCTAAAAGCAATTATGTATTGTAGTCCTTGATTAGAACATGCAGATCCATGTAACAGAATATATGCCTAGATACAGAATTCAATATGTGATAAAGGAGGCTTCATAATCAATGTACAAGGAACAACTGGTGAAGAAAAAAATAAATTTAGTATATGCTAACAGTGGAATCTTAAATCTGTGAAGAAAATACAGATCGCTCAGTAAGTGGTGTTTGTGTTGGTCAACTGGGTGACCAAATGGAAATGAAAACTAGCTCCCTATCTCACTCCTTTTAGCAAAATTAATTGCAGATGACCAAAGACGTAAAGAAATGAATTTACATGAAGTGATAGAAGGCAACATGGGGAAATATTTTTTTTTAATAATCTGGGAGCAGAAAAGCTTTAAATATGGCCAGAAACCCAGAAGTTATAAAGGAGCACAATAAATTAAGCTCCTTTAAAATTGAAGGTATTTCTGGCAAGATGGCAGAATAGGCAGACAAGCTACACAGACCCTCTTCAACAAAGAAAGGAGAAACTAATTGAAACAGACACAGAAGATAATCCTGTAACCTTGAGTTTTGAAGGGAAAGATAAAGAAGTGGATTAAATACCAGCAAGTAGAACAGAATGAAAACAGGGAGTAAAGAAACAAACACGGAGCTGCAGACTGTCAGCCATACTGATGGCAAGGCCAATTTGACTATTTACAAGCTGCATTCAGATCCAGGCAACCTAAGAATCGACTCTGCTTGCCAAGGACTGCATAGGCAACTGCACTGGTGGTTGATGATGAGAAAAAGAAACAGCAAATAAGGAGAAAAACAGCTATGGATTTTCAGCTATCCTGAGGGTATAGCCATTTCGAATATTTGCAAGAAGTGTTCCCATCCAAGCAACAACCTAAGAATAGGCTCTGCTTGCTGAAGACAGCACAGGCAACCACAATGGAGGCTGATGACTAGAAAGGTGCAATATTCCCCTTGTTACTCTTACACTCCACACCATTTGGTGAATGGAGGTGTGGCCATTTCCCACCTGCACCCTCCTTCTGGACTGGCACAAATTCCATCCCAGTGTGTGTGCCCTGA